TTATATAAATGAACAGATTCTACAGTGTGTGTTAACATGGTGTATTGTTTAGTACACAGAGTACCTAGTGTTCAGCCATGTTAACACACACTGTAGAATAGTTCATTTATATAAACGACATTAATACTAACATTTTTGGTCAACCTGAAACTAATAACTTTAGTGATTTCAACTACTGGTATCTGAACAGGTACACGAATTTGATACTGAGTCTGAACTAGACTCGTTCATGTCTTATAAAAATATCTTTTTTTACATTTAAATGTAACATGAAACTGATTCGTGAGTAATCCATGAAGATACAAAACAAAATTAATTTTGACTTTAATTAATAAATAAATAATCATATTTTCTCAACATTCTAAAACGGCCAGTTGAACACAACGTGCTTTAACTAAACGATCTAAATAAGAAATACACCCACCTTGTAGGTCCTCCCTTTTAGTTACATTTTCCGCAAACAGTTTCAGAATATCAAGAAACTTCTGAGGCACAGTGTAGTTCAACGGTGGTGAATTCGGGGTAACACCTGACAACAGAAAACTGAGTATTATCATGTCTACATAAGCCTAATATTAATGTAGTATGGGACTGTAATATGTATTTTCCTCTCCTTTAGTTAATGTGTGAATTTGTTTTAGATATTGTACTTTCTGTAGTTTACAGTGACAATAGAACATAAGAAGTGGATTTTCAGACAACTAGTCTATTATTGGTTAGTTTGTTTATATAAATGAACTGTGACAATAGAACATAAGAAGTGGATTTTCAGACAACTAGTCTATTATTGGTTAGTTTGTTTTTAAAATGAACTCAAATATTTAAGATGAAATTATTTGTATTCTTCAAAATATAAAAAATGTATATGTATATGTGTTCGTATGGATATGTAGGTTTTTTTTCCAGTTTCTAGTATTGTTTTTGTGTTCGTATGGATATGTATGGTTTTTTTCCAGTTTCAAGTATTGTTTTTGTGTGTTCGTATGGATATGTAGGTTTTTTTTCAGTTTCTAGTATTGTTTTTGTGTTCGTATGGATATGTATGTTTTTTTTCCAGTTTCAAGTATTGTTTTTGTGTGTTCGTATGGATATGTAGGTTTTTTTCCAGTTTCTAGTATTGTTTTTGTGTTCGTATGGATATGTAGGTTTTTTTCCAGTTTCTAGTATTGTTTTTGTGTTCGTATGGATATGTATGG